CCTCAAACGCCGCTTCACGTAAGCAAAAGCCTTCTTGTGGGCCGTTTTCGCTGAGGTTACAAGCTCCTCTTGGAACTGCTGGCGCTTTTGTGCTGTTGCATAGATTCCGCCATTTATAACCCGTAAACCTGATAGCCCCTGGGCTAGATTTTAAAGGAATAGGGCCATCGACCTCTGTCTAACCTTTGAAGAGGCTTGGATTGCAGGACTGAGTTTGCTTGACACCTGTTATGTGACACGGACACGATCAAAAAGTCACGATGGCGGCGGGCGGAAAACAGGCGTTTATTCAGTATAGGGTAGCCTATTTAAAAGAAATAAACACTGTTAATCTTCGAGCCTTCTCAGTGGTCTTCTGTTTTTCGGTTCACCTCATTGGTCGCGTTCCCCTTTTATTTCATTGGGTTATGTTATTCCTCTTCGGTCGCTGTCTTCCTGTCTCGCGCAATGGTCACATCTTTCGTGCTTGGCATCTGATTGGCCGTATTTCATTGGACCGCTCATGTTTGGCTTTGCACTCTGAAACTTGCCGTTAATGGCGATTCTCGAGTTGCCAATGCGCCCTCTATGTTCTCTTGTCCAATGCGGTTTGTCGGTTTCTGGATGCGTGTGCCACTCATGATTCGCTGTCCAGCCATCGCTGTGTCTCCCGGTGGGTTCACGCGTTCTCTCGATCGAACTGATCTGCTGACTCCGGTAACCTGCGCTTAGGTGGTAAGGTCGAGCATACTGGACCGGTTTCCTAAACCCCGTTACAACACCTAACCAGTGACCTATCTGCTATGAGTGTCTGAGGGCAGTTAGAAAGTTCCACCTTTCGTAACTCAGTGATTCACAGAGGAAACATCGTGTCACGTGACGGTTCCTTCTGGTCGCGATGAACAATAGCTGGTGGCCCACATTTGCTTTTGTTTGATGCATTCGTTCTGTAAATGAACTGCGGCACGTGCTCCCAATTTGAACACAATATTCTTTGAAATGAACATCGTTTAGTACGACCACTATGACCGTTTTGAAGTAGAGAAACGTCAAACGTTGACCGCTAACGAACCGGACTGCACTCCACGAACGGTTTTGTGTTTTTATACACCATTCAGCTGATGTGATAGTTCAGCACTGGACGTAAATTTGTCAGCTGATATCCTTACTTTCGCACCACAGTAGAGCTTACAAACAGCCGAGTCCATTCTTTAAGTTAATAAGCAAATGAGCAGGCTCAATAATAATCTATCTAGTTAGCGGTGGTGCTCCTCTACCGCAAACGATTTGAGTAAAAATTGAAAGTTATGGTACTTTTTCGATTTGTACCGAGGTTTTACTTTTTTACAGTGAAGCTTTGTATAAGCTGAGACCCCACCGGAGTGCACTAATCCGGTTAGGTAAAAACGGCGCCCCTTTCCAAATTCTTTAGCTAGGAACCTAATTTTAAGGCATCGACAAAACATTAAAGATGAGCCTTTTTCACAGGAGCAGATTCTGACCTGCGACACGGAACGCCAAGAGATGGACTTTGTCTAATGTCTAGACGCCAACCGATCTGATGGATACAGAATAGCACTAACCAGCGTTGAGCGGCATGGTCGAGAGGCGCGAGGCCGTTTCGTTAAGTCGTACTGATAACAGATGATTGTTACAATGTGTTTCGCAGCGATACAAGCGCCATGGTCACAATAACTGAATGTGGCATCAGCTTATCTGTCGCTTCGTATTCTCGACAGTTAAGCCCTACGGTTTCAACCTTCTTTCAATCTTTGCAGAACGTTTTTTTGCTTTGCTACTTGTTTGTATCTTCTCACTTCTTTTCCCTATTATCCCTAAAGTGAGTCATTATAGCATCAATACAGCAACTAGGCTCATCGTATTTCGGGGCCTGAATCACAACCGATTTACTGAACTCATCGGCACTCGAAATAGCAAGTAACCACAATGAGTGACCGGAGAATCGTACACGATACGCGACGAATTCAAAACGAATATCACAAGACGAAGGTTGTGCAGTGATAGTGTGGTTTAGTGTGTACTCTTGTGCCACGTACATACAACTAGCAAAGGATTCAAAGCAATCTGTATATATCTTGGAACCGACAGGGATTTCATTATTTCCATAGGTTTTGTAATACAAATCGGCTTTACACAGATTTGGTCGAAGAGTATGCTGGAAATAGCAGTATCATCTCATAACTTTCATCTTCTGCTATTCCTATTTAGAATTTTAAATGGAACTTTGAGTTCCAAACTAGTTGTATAGCGCGTTGAGGCACACGATAAATGTCGGTTCACGAAATGTACTCAGACAGGCAGTCATACTACTGCATCATATTCGGAAATGGTTGGTGCATGAAAAAAAACCGATCAAAGGCCACACAAAACGTATCCAGACTGAGGATTTATGTAGCCTTGCCAACACTCAATGCGGAACCATTTAGGACAGTACCTTGGGGGTTAAGTGACAATCATTCTGAATGGATTGCGATACGTAGTCTCGATTTGAATCAGTGACTCACTTTGAAGGGCGAACTAACGTCTGACTCAGCATAAAAACTTGTCACCTAATGTGGGAACTCGAAAGAGTCCTTTGCGATCGTATTCATTCGCGCTTTCAACGGTTGCAATCGGCTGGCCAGATATCTAGCTACATTGTGTGTCAGGACACCTGTACTATCTGCATTAGGCTGGATGGCCACGTCAGGCTTATGTATATTAGGCGAAACATATACCCTCGTTGGAAGCGTTCATTTCGGGTATATATTATACCATTTACCAGGCCCTAGAGGATCCTTCACATTCCTTGATTACCAACCCCTATCTTATTCATCCTTGACGCGGTGGTTTTATTGCCAATCAGCTTATATGACCCAATTACTAGATGCTTCTCCATTTTTTCCATATAACTCGGCTTGTTCAGAATTACTGTGGTTTTTCCTTTATCGACTTTCATGGTAATATTGCTCGGGTCTTTCTTTAGGGCCATTGATATGATGCCTTCCTCTGGATCATGATTCGGCTCCTCCTTCTGCTGGAATTTGATGTTCCTATTGCTTTCTCCTAGATTAAACTGGTCAAGCTTAAGGCGTGTGCTGTCTACGATGTCCCAGGCATTGTTCTTGGTGCCATGGCTATCCATCCATTGCTAGTTTGTTGAAGCACCCGTTTCGTGAATGGATTGTCCCACACACTATCCTCATCTGTACCGCCATCTACTCTGACGTGAATCTCGATCAATGCAGTCATTGCGAGCATATTTGAATCAGATTGACTGACCCGCTGCGGATACTGCACCCCACGTCCACCTCAAACGGCATAAATAGTGAACCATTAGCAACTGTGCTAAGTATTGCTTTTGGGCCCGATGATGTAGTGGTGAAACCGTCAGCAAGTGTTTTCTGCGCCACGTATTCAACTTCCAGTCCGCGTGTCAGCACCCAAAGAGCGCAAGTAGAAGTACGAAACTGGTCTGGAGAAACAACTATGCAGCGACCGAACTGATCGAGATACCATCTCATAACAAGTTAACGCGATTAGTACACAAACCCAGATGAGTATGGAACTCATGCGAAAGATTGCAGCTCTCACCGTCGCATCAGATGAAATAACAGTTAGTTTTTACGTTAGCTCGCTATTCACCAACGTATCCAGTGATGACGCATCAGTGGTAGCGCAGCGCTGTCTGCTTACGGACAATGGCCTAGGAAAAAGAACAACTCTAGTGGTAGACCAAACAATCAAATGACTAAAAGTATGCCTTAAGATGTCATATTTCACAGTCCAGTAGAGACGGCATGGTCAGTAACGTGGACTTTCCATGGGGCCGCCAGTATTCCCGTATTGACAAATCTGTGTATAGAATACTGAAACACGCTTGCAAACTCGTAGTTTGCCAATGATGTGGTGACGCTATGTAGATGGTACTTTTGTGGTTATAAAGCCGGATGTAAAGGGGGATTTTCTAAACCAACTGAACTCTTATTAAGAACGTAAACGTTACTATGGAACTAGGATCTTGCAGTGGCGCACCGCCATTCTTAGTTCTCAGGAACGAAGGACGAGTAAGGACAACGATACATCACAAACCGACATATACGGATTGAATAGACCATTATAATCCGTGGCCCTTATTGTTCTCAGGAGAAGACTAGAAGGCCGCTCGGTGGGTGTCCATGGCATCTAGTAGAACATCAGTTGCAAAGAGTCTCAGCCCACCTCGATGCACGACGGAGTGAATTGGGCCGGTACGAATTCCTTATAAAGCGACAGCTTCTGAAACACTTAACCAGGTACTAAATAAGAAAAATATGAAGGTTGTTTTTCAATAAGGATTAAACGCTGCGCTCAGCTCCGAGAGATAGAACGATCAAATTGCATCTACGGGATCAATTGGGAATACCATACACACGTGTACACAGTTCAGACTACGAGAGCTACGCACAATGAGGCCAGAAATAAGTAGCACCTTTCCCGTCCACCGAGAAACGAGCCTGAATACGGCGCCCTACTAGGAGCTTCAGCGGTCGCCGTCCAGACGCTTAATGTGGGGCTAGAGATCGACTTGGACATTAAGAGAGAAGTACGAGCAATAGACCCAAGCTTAATTGGGGAGGTGGTGTAAACTACTAAGGCCAATAACTACGTGAACAGAACGCATGGGATGGAGCTATCAAACGCATGGCGATCTGCCTTTACACTGCTAGTATGAAATGCGTCTAGGGATGGACTCAAGTCAGAACATGGATCAGTAGCAACAGGATCAAGAATGTCTCACATCTGGATCACCTGTGATGCGGATCAGTTGAGAACCTTCGGTGCTGGTTGTTATATATGCATGACCCTTTAATCCATTGGCCTGTACCGTAATTAGACACTGCACCATCTCATTCCTTAGTTATTATCCTACTTTAAATTAGAATCGGTTCCAAGCTTATTCCGAGCTATCAAACCCGTTTGTTCGCGACGGTTTTATTTTGCTTTTTATTAAATGGGATCTTTTACTTCTCTATTCACAGGTTGCTTACAGACGGCGTTCGTTCTTCTGGCTAATAACACAGATCTGCTCTCTGGTTCTTCCAACTCTTCCAACGTGACTGGCTCTTCTGGTCGACACACATATTTCGCACATCAGCCACAGCCATCTGTGAATCCACTTACTGTGGCTGACCGATGGTTCAGTGAACTCAATGTTGACATGGATAAGGTCAGTTTGGATGCTTACGTATGAAACAATCTCTTTATCTCTGCTAGTCCATTTTCTGTTTCCGTCCGTTCGTTTGTAGTTGCAGTGCCACTCCGTTTGGCTCACTACCATACAGACATTGAAATATCATTGAACTGATCGCTTTGACCGCTCACCACCATGATATTAACGGTTAGTGACGGCGACAAGCAAAGCAGGAGAAGAATATGTACCTACTAGAGTCCTTACTCCGAAGAACTGACTGATAACTATTAGAGCATGAGTGTCACAGAGGACACGCTTATCAGTTCATTCTCTGTTCCGTACTGTCATAAACCTTTCCTTAGCTTATTATGCTCAGTATACCGGATTCCAATCTACTGCCATCCGACTTTGGGCCCCTGTTTGACAAAGGAACAAACGAAAGGCATATGAACTGAGCAATCAGTCACCGGCTCCCAATGGGCGCGATTCCTTGAAGTCGCTGCGCTACCTTGCGGGCAGGCTATTCAGCCAAAGGCTGGAGGTGGTGTCCCGTAAGTCAGCACTCTACTTCGGCTTGGGCAACCGAGTAGTATCTCGCCCTCTGACGAAACCATGGACTTTAATGTGTTGTGTTGTGTTTTCGTTTACTATTTCTGTACCTTCTTTTGAGTTCCATGGTTTCCGATGGCTCAAAGTCTATTCATAGACGAAACCATGGACTTAACCAACACTGGACACTATCAATAAATGTTTTTTACGACAACACTTTTGGTCACGTTGTATTTTCACCTTTTCATATATTTGTCCATAATTGCCCAGTCTACTTGCATTGGGCACTTGCTGTTTAACACTACCCTCTCCGGAGGACCCGAGCTATTATGATGCCATTTTCATTATAACATCATTGTGCCACGTCTGGCCAATGGAGATTCCTATTGTCTACAGTCGGCCGCGGCGTGTGCGATGAGAGCCTGAGAACACAACCCGTCCGTTTCATGATCGCGGCGAGTGAATGGGGAAAATGCAGTTTGAACAGGCAAAGCCGTCACATAAAGGAGCTAACGAGATCACTGACTCTATCACGTATTTTACCTTTTCGGGTTTCGATGTGCTCCAACAGATCTCTGTGATTATTCGTGATTTTTGCTCGTTGTCTGTCATACTCCTGTGCTCCACACCAGAGAAAAGGCATCGGAAATACGCCGGTACGCAATACCGATGATTCGTTGCCTCTCAACCACTACTGGTTGCACGCGGGCTAAGCATACTGCGAGGGTCGCGCTGCCCATACGCAAGGTCGAACCCGCGCCGCCGGATTAAAAGACAAGCTCGTTATCTTTAGGCTACAGGTACTTGTCAACTTACTGCCAAACGAGGATGTTTGTCATGCACAAGTATGGCACATTCGTCCCTCAGTAATCCGATTTTCTACAGTTATATCAACGAATGTGCCCTCATGGTGAACTATTATAGACGGTAAGGTGACTAACTGACATCCGCGCATCAAGCAATGATTGCTGTCACCAAGTTGGGTACTAACATGTTGAAGCGTTTACCACATCCATGTTGTGTAGATAGACTAGCGGTTCCACACTATTGCTTCTGCGCAAAGTGAACCCACGTGGTCTCTCACCTTGACTGCTGCTCATTCACAGTTTAAACGATTCCCCAGCAAAGTTGGGCTACGGATGATGACTGCGTTGCACTCGTTGTAAGCCGGTGCAGTTGCTCGGAAAACACAGGGATTGAAGCTTAACGGATGGCACTTAAGAATTATGAGTAGTTGCCCATGCCTCATTCTCCCGTCATCCGGATGCTTCGTAACAGTGCACCCTTACTCCGAAGGCTGCGGCACAGTAGCTGAGGTGTTGCGGCACAGTATCTGAAGTGTTTCCCGCGTCTAGTTAACGTGTATAAGGGTGATGATGACTTCGAAGGCTTGGAGCTAAACGAACTGCTGGCCGGTCCAAGTTTGTTTAGGTGCACTGCATTGTACAGTCCTCTCACTTGTGTCTAGAGTTCACCTAGCTTAGCTGCACACTTGTGTATCCCGCAGTGTTGCGCCTGCTCCGACCATGTTAGTAAAATTCATTTCTAGTACATAGAAAACGTTGTTCCTAACCGTTTTGTGCCTCATATTGCTTTCACAAACCCCATCTTACCGCTTGTAGATCCTGCATCTTTCCACAGTACTAAAGTACGTGGTTGCCGATGGCGGATAACAGTTGTGTCGACTGATTCACTTGGCAACTGACGGCGTCCTAGATACTACGCAACCATCACTTGTTTTGTGTATGCAGCATGCATCAACTGTGTAGCTGAAGTTGATTCTAAATGGGATAATCCCAGATGCGTGTTCCCATATAGGGTGTTTCTTCTATCAAGCTAACGGCAGTTTGCTATTAGCCACGATTTGGGATCGGGAGCAAATATCCTTTTAGTTAAACCACTGTAAACGATGTGATTGTAATTTCCACGCCAAATCTGATTCCGGTTCCTCTACTTTGGAAAACGGTTTGCCACCTCAGTGTCAAGGGTCGTGACGCCTCATCCCTTTCTTTTCTTTTTCTGACCACTGATTTAGAAGACTCATACTAGGCCCAGATGATAATAGATAGTGCAGACAAATAACTCACATAGGTATTAGCGTCACTAAGGTCGCTGTCGACGGAAGCACTCTTACGCTACACCTTTTACCGAATGGTTGCATTCATAGTGCAATTAAAATTGCTCCTTAAGGCTCTGATTCGCATCTGCAAGCCAATTAAACATAATCTCTCAGACATTTGGATTGCATCCAGTATCATTTTCATGCGCCAAACGCGCGCAGTGACCTCGGAATTGAGCTATCTCTAAGCAGCCAATGACGGTAGATGTAATAGCCCTAGCATGAATGCATGAGTTGGTGGTGTGTCTTTTGGACAAGCGTGGACGGTCTAGCCTCCATTCAGCCACCGTGTCTAATCTGAAGCTAGTTCCACGCAGCTTAGGGGTACAAGCTTGTCTAAGCACCTGGTTCGACTGGGTGGAGGGTTCAGTAGGCGTAAGTGAACTACCATGTACGTAAAGGCATGCCTTGCGAAGGGCACCAGTTGGGGGTGGGGGCTGCGAACACGGTAATGCAACACCCCACTAGCGATCTTATGGCTAGTTCGGCACCGATGTATCCCAAGGTTTTGGACGATCTGCCAACGCTCTGACATGCGACGGTACTGCGTCCGGATAGCGATGCAGTCACAGGTGCATGGCTGCGAATGACCTAGGGCGGTGTGACGGGCATGCGAGTAACGCGACGAAAGGGGCCTGCGCAACCGAATTACAGGTTGGGACGTGGCTGCCTCAGATTATGGAGAGCCGTCTTGAGCGGCGGTCTGCTGAGAGGGCTAGTGCCGAAATACAAGTGGCAATTTTGTTGCAACGTGAGTAGGCGTTGCTTTGCTACAGCGGCCGTCGCTTACCGTCATGGTGGATGCAGTACACCGACACAATGGTCCCTGCGACCGGGCTGTCGATAGTGTGCATTGGCTGACCTGTACACACATGAATGGGCGGACTGGTGCAGACCCAACACAAGTGCAAATGACGCACAAGTCGGTGCGCATTAACTGAATGCGTATCCCGTACCCAGTGGTGTGGCATATTCGCGCATAGTAGTCACTCCATAGTTGCTTGGCAGCTTTGTCTGGTCATTTCATCGCCTCTACTCCAGCAAAGGTACTTGGCCGACACAGCGTATAGGCAAGCAACACCTCAGTTACTTCCTACAGTAGTTGAAACAGTAAAACCAATAACTGCGTAAGAAAAAGGCATTACGGCAGTCGTATTTCGGTATGAACGCTCTCAGTGAAGCGCCGCTCAAGACATCTCACTTTTATCCAAGAGGGCCACTCATCAACCCAGAGTTCAGTGACATGTTGCGCAGGCCCCTTATGTCGCTTTATTCACTTTCACTTCATAACATATTTTCCCTTCAGACCCTGATCATTCGCAGTCTTATACTTGTGACTGTCTTAATATCCGGACACACCGAAACTACCCGAGCGCTGGTTGGTCGTCATAACAGTGTCCTCCTACAACCTACATCTGATGTTCTTATTTGGAATTATAATGGGGATTTCCCGCATGAAATTTGTTCTCGAATTTCCCGATTCGTGCCGATGATGTAACTTATAGCGAGCGATTAGTTGCAACTAAACCTAAATATATCTGCTAAATCACCATGTCACACTCCATTTTAGTGGTACGTTCATTATTTGGTCTTTCTCTCTTCATTACACCCATCCACGGGACATGTCAAGCGTTATCTACTTGACCTGCTATATATCATTGTACTGCCATCTGCGACTATGGTTTACTTGTTCATTGACCGTCAGCCAGAGAATTGAGTGTTATCGACCCTACGGAGTTATTGGTTTTACTGTTTCAACTACTGTAGGAAGTAACTGAGGTGTTGCTTGCCTATACGCTGTGTCGGCCAAGTACCTTTGCTGGAGTAGAGGCGATGAAATGACCAGACAAAGCTGCCAAGCAACTATGGAGTGACTACTATGCGCGAATATGCCACACCACTGGGTACGGGATACGCATTCAGTTAATGCGCACCGACTTGCGCGTCAGTTGCACTTGTGTTGGGTCTGCACCAGTCCGCCCATTCATGTGTGTACAGGTCAGCCAATGCACACTATCGACAGCCCGGCCGCAGGGACCATTATGTCGGTGTACTGCATCCACCATGACGGTAAGCGACGGCCGCTGTAGCAAAGCAACGCCTACTCACGTTGCAACAAAATTGCCACTTGTATTTCGGCACTAGCCCTCTCAGCAGACCGCCGCTCAAGACGGCTCTCCATAATCTGAGGCAGCCACGTCCCAACCTGTAATTCGGTTGCGCAGGCCCCTTTCGTCGTGTTACTCGCATGCCCGTCACACCGCCCTAGGTCATTCGCAGCCATGCACCTGTGACTGCATCGCTATCCGGACGCAGTACCGTCGCATGTCAGAGCGTTGGCAGATCGTCCAAAACCTTGGGATACGTCGGTGCCGAACTAGCCATAAGATCGCTAGTGGGGTGTTGCATTACCGTGTTCGCAGCCCCCACCCCCAACTGGTGCCCTTCGCAAGGCATGCCTTTACGTACATGGTAGTTCACTTACGCCCACTGAACCCTCCACCCAGTCGAACCAGGTGCTTAGACAAGCTTGTACCCCTAAGCTGAGTGGAACTAGCTTCAGATTAGACACGGTGGCTGAATGGAGGCTAGACCGTCCACGCTTGTCCAAAAGACACACCACCAACTCATGCATTCATGCTAGGGCTATTACATCTACCGTCATTGGCTGCTTAGAGATAGCTCAATTCCGAGGTCACTGCGCGCGTTTGGCGCATGAAAATGATACTGGATGCAATCCAAATGTCTGAGAGATTATGTTTAATTGGCTTGCAGATGCGAATCAGAGCCTTAGGGAGCAATTTTAATTGCACGATGAATGCCATCAGTCATGGATAATGTGTAGTTAATCTTATTAAGAATTGCCGTGATCACTAGAGGTTACTCTGACATAATTTTCGCTTTTGGCGGAACTTATCTTCTCGTTTACCTTGTGCAATTCTGCAATCGCCTTCGATTTTCTCTCGTAAAATTTAGGTTGTAATATTTAAGATCCTATCTTTTATTTTCATCCTTATTACCTTTATCCGGGTTCAATAAACCCAGCTGACTCTTCGTGCGCTGTTCATTTTTGATGAAGACTACTTCTGTCGTGTACTGAATGGGTTTCTTCGCCACGGAAGGCACGGGCACCGTAGTACTTGCTGGGAATCTGAATGCTCAAATCGGGGGATTGTCCACTGATGAGCTGCGTCTGATTGGCCAGGATGGTGTGGGCTCCCGTTATCAGAACAGTGGGCGGTGCGTGTGGATGCTTGCTTACTTCTTGCGCGCACTAACTTGCGACACAGCACCCGTCGGATGATGACACTGCGCCCACCAGCCTTGAACCTGCCACGAACGCAAATCTATCACATCTCGATCAGTTATCACTGGAGCAACTGCGTCCAAAACTTTCGCTTTGGTTTGTAGGACTTTTGCATACACTAATCATGCACTTGTATGTGCTGCTATGCAGGTACGTTTTTGCCGTCGCCCTCGACGACCCTGTGAGCGTAAAGACACCATCCAACTGTCTAAGCTAGCTGTTCTCAATGCATATCGAAGTACGCTGATGTTCAGGTTGAAAAGGCGTTCACTGAATACTGTTGAATATCACTGGTCGCATGTTTACCGGGCCTTACTGGAACCAGGTAAATCATCATGGGGTAAATTCACTAGCCAAAATGGACATTGGGTCTCTTCCCAATTTATGGAACTTATAATCGTCGGCACATTCCGGCTATAAGCGAACACAACTAGACTCGCAAAGGCGTCGCAGCAAATCTCCCTGCTAGCCTGAAGTGTGACCGCGAATCATGGTGGTCTAATCCTGCGTCAGAGATGGAAGTGGCCGCTGCCCTTGGTAACCATCTGAAGTTATTCCTTCTGTTACGGGAAACGGGCAGCAGGGGACCTGTTGTTAAAGGAACTGTATATGACGAGGGTGAACATACTTCCACAACTTGTCGAAATGTTTGGATCCTTTGGCTGAGCGTTTTGCAAAGCTGTTTACTTGATCGGAATTGTTAGCTTTCTCACCGACAAGTGATCGCCCATCTCCCTGGGCTGTCTTTTTTGGACCGTCCTCTCTCTCAGAAGTCGACCATGAGATCGGACTGTTGAAGTTGCATAAAGATGTGGGACCAGATGATCTCCATCCAGCCATCTTCAAATTCAAGCGACCTGATTTTGTACATAATTTACGCGAATTACTTGTGAAATCGTCCCAACCGATTTTAGTTGCTCCGTCATAGTCCTAATTTTCAAGGGAGGCTCACGGTCGGAATGCGGCAACCATAGAGGAATCAGTCTGATCCCCATCGCCTCCACATTGCTTGCCTCTTCGATCCTTCACAGACTGACTGGTACTCGTGAAAGCTAAATTCGTGAAGAGCTTGCCGGGTTTCTTCGTGGTCGGGGGTTCGTCGACCACCTATTCACATAACCTCAGCTTTTGGGATACCGTCACATATATTGGCGACCTACCGTTGTTGTGTTCCTCGACATCAAAGTTGCCTTCGATTCGATTGCTTGGTGTGCTCTTTGGAACTGTCTGCTATGGGAAGACATGCCCGAGATGTATGTAAATACTATGCGAATGCTTTACACGCGTAGCTCGGGCAGAGAGAGGGCGTACGGCAAGCTGTCGCCGCTCTTCATCATCTCCAGCGGTGTAAAACAAGGATGCCCACTGTCACTTTTTCTCTTTAACTTCGCAATTGACGAAGCCATGGAGACCGCCTTCCCAATACACGACTTAGAAAGTGTGAAGCTGCTCCCAGCTGAACGACTACTTGATTCGGAATATGCTAACGATATCACCCTAATCTGTGACATCTCCCAAACGTGCCAAACGACGCTAGTTGATTAGCACTGGATGTCAGCCGCCACGAGTTTTGCTTTGCACCCTCAAATTACAAAGCTTTCCTGCAGGATTGGTAGGGACCGCCTCCTGCGCTGACCCTTGGTAGAAATCAGCTAGAAGTCGTCCATAAGTTCAATTAACTAGGTAATTGTATCTGCACCGTTCAAATTTAAGACGGTCACAAAATGTAATGCAAAAGCGCCTCGAGCTTTTGCTAACCTTTGCCACCGATGCGACAGCACTCACGATCTGAAGGATAGAGTTCAATGCAACGGTACGTTCGCCCCTACTGTGTCGTTGTGAAAGCTGTCCCATTAGATCAGCCACCGGTGCCTTCGCAGTTTGGTTCATATCTGGTGGTAACACCGTATGAGCGTGTTCGACGCCTTGCTTTTGGCACAGGAAGAGGAAGCGAACCGTTCAGCACCGTTTTTTCACCCACCAGGCTCCGGTGGCTGAGCCACGTGTTGCCAGCCCACCGACTCCCGCGACGTGCGTTATTTGTACGCCAAACGGTGCGGATGGAAGATGATGTGGGGTGGCCATGCGATGACTTGGTGGAGAGCAATGAAGGCGTTTACGGCGAATTTGATCTCGGTTGGGGCCTCTTGGCTTCCTGGTCGGGGACCGAAGGACGATGAACACCTTTGGCTGGATACACTTGTCGACATGGCTGGGAGCCGACCTCAATGACGTTTGCGTTGTGAGTTTCTTTTCCCTTCCCGTCCCTCTTAGCCTCCCCCTCCAACCACAGTCTTATTTATAAAGCATAGTATAATCCCTTTTTGTGGCTGTTAAGTCTCTAGAACGATGTCCATCCGTTATTGGTGATTCGGCCGGCGTGCCTCTGTTTCATCTTTTTTCTTTTGTGTTGCGGCACAAAAGCTATTTTCTACTTGCAGCAGCAGCAGCAAATGAACATGCATGAGTACATGTTCATTTTCGATTTTGTGACCCAAACTGGATGGTAATTATACGATCTGTCTTGGTTCTTTCCACATTAAGCGCTGTTCATGTGCCTTCTCGGCCATTGGAATCCACATAATGTGTTTACCAATGAGTTACGGCGCTGCGCGAACCACCATACTGTCTTAAAAGCGATGTCCTTACAGCGTGAGGACGAACGATTTCATCTCTCTCGTCGAACTGCACTCGTGATCGCGTTCTATAGCTATAGTGGGGTATAGAAGATCATCAGAGGTCACAATCCACTCAGCTACTTCAACAGGGACTGTGAGACATTCATCCCATGGTTACTAACAAGTAATGACTTGCTGCGGCCTCAAAACCTTGCAAGCCAATTTATTCGACGTACATCTATCACATGCATATCGACATCGACCCAGTTTACCAGCAGCTCCGACGGAAAGAACTTAGAGAAATTACGAGACGCCGCTTGAGTAGGAACAACTTGAGCGACGAATTCTGCAGCATGTGAAATGGGTAGAGATCACGTGGCGCAGATCGAAGCCCCCACTTTCAGAAAGTCATCTGCACGCCGACTACGGATCAACCATACAATCAGCGAGATTACACTCTAAATCTCAACGCACTGATGAGGCCACCTCGTACGTTGGTGAAAAGTTTGCAAAATAATCATTCAGCTCGGAGAGAAATGCAAAACTCATATACTTTGAGTGCCGTTAACTACTGTATTTGCTGTACGCCTTGGGATCCGAATCCCTTGGTTCCGTTCCCGAGGTGAGGACATTTGTTTTTGAACTGATACTGAGTTCCTTTCAATTTTTTGAATCAGGTATTTATTATTTCCTTATCCACTATGATTTTTTCTCACTCCTATAGGTACTGGAAGTCACTCGTCAACTACTCAGTCTGTACGATCTCTGGCGCCGTTTTGACGAATCTGCTGAAATGCCCAGCTTACTACTCAAGAAAATTCCCAAACCCACCGTTCAGCCTCCGCCCACACCTCCAAGCTCAAGTGCTTTTGGGAACACAGCAAATGCGCCCACGAATGCAGCAACCGGTGCGGGGGAGCGGTGCTAGTCAGTCATCGGCTAGTTGTGGGCCTCCTGCTCATACATCACTGATGGGCGGAAGCGGCGGGGCTGCGGGTGGCGGCGGTGGGGGAGCAAGCAACCTAACCGACCCGCAACCGCAGCCTCATCATCATCACACTTCGGCTCAGGCCAACCGCCCGGCTCCCAGTGCTTTGCGCATTCATCCCCAACAGCAACAACAGCAGCAGCAGCAACAACAACAACAACAGTCCTCTCAGCAGCAAGGTATACCACCTTCAGGTGTGCGATGATGAATTGTTGCATCTGAAACGCCGGCCCTCTCACGTCGTATTTTCCCACTTGTTTAGATGAATTTGCCTCGCGACTTACCTTCGTACCACTAAATACAATGTTTGCCTCCGTGTTTACGTATTTTTGTATTCGGGTAGGGGCTAACACGCTTTGACACCTTAGCGGTTATGTTATGGGCTAACGAAATTTTAGCAGATAGTAGATACTGAACACTTGTGGAGGCTATCCTTGCCCTGGATGATCTGCTCAGAGCTTTATTTTTAATGTGATGCATGAAATTCGCTTTTGTGTTTTGCACACGACATTGACTCCAACCGCAAACTGCCTCAAATATTTACATATCCGGTATCAATAAATTCACTGCATGTACTGCGAACTTTCGGTGTCACATCTTTGTTTTTAAATTGCTTCATTTACGGTCAGCAATCACATGAGCATCTTTTCACCGATTTTCGTGGGCTTGTACTGCAAATTCCCTTCGGGTACACTCCGTAAGCACTCACCTATCTACTACTTATTTCCCGATGAACGTATTGTCCCAGTGATGGCTGTTTGGCATCTCTTCTCGCCTTAAGCACCGAACTACGACAGCTTGTCATTCACTAGAATCATGCATCGTTGTTAACATCACGTAAACGCTTCCTTTCAGTGATTGTTTTTCACATATGCGGTTCTACCCATGTCGGTGGATTGTGTTGTGGGCGTTTTGAGCTCTCTTCTCTGCACTGTGGACTAGCTTGACTGATAGTTACCGACAGCTTCGATGATAGCTCTTTGCAGAAAGCAACTAGTTTTGTAGTGGACCTACAGGGGAAGGTCAGCAGTGTCAATCCCCAGATTAACTCTGCGAAATGTTAATCAGAAGCGGCTCTTATCAATGAAACATTGATTCACATATGGTTGAGCCACTCCGTACCAATTATCGGGCCACTGACTATTTTCATTAACATGAATCAAGACCAGAAACCAGTTAAGGGTTAAGAATTCTTTTCGGTAAGCTCTCCTCAGACTCAAACGTTTACATGACGCTGTTTGTTTGTGGTAAGCGTCAAATCGGGCTGGGATTGATTTATAAGGTGTTTGAACAGTCAAAATCGATGATTAAAGACGGCTACACATGGCAAGCAGTGCACCAAAGGAACATTAATACACAAACGTCAGCAGCCTAAAGTAACTAGGTAAGATCACAAAGGGGAACTAAGTAACCATGTCAGTCGGCCACGATAGTAGTATCGGCCGTATGAATCATTTATGTATACATAATTCCGGCTTCAGATGGTGGATGTAAATAACCTCAACAATAGAAGATCTGATTTCGGAATCCTTGTGAAAACCGTTCAGGTAGTGAGTAGATGACTTTAAAGTCATTCTCACATGCAGTATGGCCACGTTCGAGTAGGTGAAACATGATTGAGCTGTTCAAGGACCTCACTTCGCCTTTGTAAAACCACGCCGGAATATGCTCGCGAATCCTCTGGGATAGGCACCTCGTTGTGGTAGACCATTCCAAGCGGGACTGCGAAACAAGTGTGCTCAAACAACATCTTTCAGGCGTCGATATAAACTTACCAGCTGCAGTATCGCCCTTAAATGGCAAAATGTATCAAGAGCTTTTCTCTTGTGAGCACCGCCCATAGGTGACTTTCGCTTTAGTTCTTTCAGATGCTTTATGATAAAACTTATCGGGATAAACCTTTTCCCTAAGGGCGTCGTTGATTCTGTAGCGCTTGTGCATATCGTTCCTCCCAATTGTACTTTCCTATTCTCATTTCCATTATTATTGTACAGTTTTGTTTTAACTGACCAACAACTGATGAAACACTTTTTCGGGTTTCGATTCGCCTTCTGGTTTCGGCTCCGTGTGTTGTGCTGTTTGTCGTCGTCTGTCTGCTGGCATCGTCCATCGATCACCGGCTCTAACGCGTCGATTGATTTTGTCGACTAAGTTCTGTCCTCCGACCAGATTGTACGACTAACTGACAGCCTAGCGAAGATCGTGCTTTACCTAAGGTCAGCTACAGCATTCTTATTTATAGACTGAGTTCTTATATGTAGTTAAGCCCTTTCCGTGTGGCCTTTTCCACTACATATTTGGTGACCCCGTTTTCCTTTTTTTGAAAGCTCAGAACTCCTTTTTTGTGTGACTTGACTATGTCGGACCACGATCCCAGCACTGACATTTCAGAGAAATGTTGTAGGTTTCTCCTTCCCTGCCTTCGGATTCATTCTAATCCTCACGTGTGGTTTTTACAGTTGAGCATCTCTTTCGCATACGCCGTATTACTTTCTCAGTCCTTAATGTTCGCACATGTCAACTGCCCAGCTTCATACCCACATCGCAACATGACCTTATAGATTTGCTCGATCCGATTCCTGGCTGACGCACCTTATGACAAACTCAAAAGCCGCCGTATTAAAGCGCACTACGGCCTCTGACGAAGCTAGACTTCGACAATTACTTTCCGGTCTTGAATTAGGTGATCGCACGCCGTCACAACTCAGGCACATGCGTACGTTAATCGGTTCCTCTAAGGTGATGACACGATTCTGCGACAGCTCTGGACGAAATGTCTTCCATACGAACAACTCAGCTGTTCTCTCCGTCTTCGCAGATGTATTTGACTTTGGACAAGCTGGCTGAAACAGCAGACAAAGTTCATGAGTACTTTAATAAACCCGCAGCATGTCACGCAGTTGAGTCGAGCACTAACACCGATCTTAAGATTGACCCGATTAAAACCATTTCTGAGAGGTTATTGAAGCTGGAGCTCACCATCTCGAGCGTTAATCGCTACCGTGGTAGAAGCCCTAGACGCTCCTCTCGAGTAGACGTAGTCCCGCCAGAAGTTCGAAACGTCATTTCTGTTGGTACCACCACCGTTTTGGCGTTGATGCATAGGAATTGTCGACCTGTTGTAACCATCCGACGTCATTCCATCAAACCGCAGCAGGAAACCTCCACGCTCTTCAGTTGACGGTATCCGGAGTGCACATATTGCGGACCCTGACGGCAAGAGATCGGCTATTAAACTCATCTTGTGCTGTAAATGCCCTGCGCTGTGAAAGTTAGTGTAATGCCCGTCCACGAATGCTTTACCTTTCTGCTACCTATGAGCCGTCCGAGTTGCAGATGCTTCAACATCCAGGAAAGGTAACCGATTCCCGTTTTCATGCTCACAGGTGAAGCGTAGATTCTCACGTGGGTTATTAACGGCTCTCAGCAACTGTTCTGTATGCTTTTTCGGATTCGCAAGGCACGAAGGTGTCATCGACTTACAAAAGTCCATTTCAATTCATTAGAGGTGCTCCTCGTGGGGACACTGTTCTGAGATTAGCTCTAAGATATCAGCATGAATCAAAGACAAGAATCTCATGTTCAGGAGTTAAGAAATTTCTTTCGGCTAAACTCTTTCTGACCCAAAAAACGTTTTTATAACGATGGATTGTTGGGGTTAAGCGTCAAATTTTCAGGCATGGGATTGATTTATAAGCGCTGTTTGATAGGTCAAGATCGATAACAAAAGGCGGCTATCAGATGGTAAGCAAAAGTGCACCAAAGAAATTTAATACAAGCATTTAGCGGCCTAAAGTAGGTCATAAATGGTAGTTTAAGTAACCATGATCAGTCGGCCACGTTTTGTAGTATCGACCACGGATGATTCGTTTATGTAACGCGGCCGTTACTTCTACTGTGGCCGACTGGACATGGTTAACTAAAATACCCTTTGTGACACTTAGTTATTTAGGCCGCTGAAGCTGTATTTTTTCTTCTGATTCTGCACTTTTACTTTACCAATCTGTCATACGCCTTTTGGTCATCTGGTTTATTGAACTTTCAAGCACCTATTAAATCAATCCATGCCCGATCTGACGCTTCCCCACACCAATCAGTGTTATGTAAACGTTTGGAGTCTGAAGAGGAGTTTACCGAGAAAGAATCTTACACCCTGAGAACAGATTTCTGGTCTTGATTCTATACGATTACAAAGGGATTATTTGCCTGTGCTGAAAATCATGCGTTGCCCGTGTTTCAGCTAAAGGTATAACCAACAACAGGACCCTTAAAAGGTGATCCATATAACTCCAAAAGGCAATACATATGACAGTACCTCTCACCATTGAATGTGGATTGAACATTTAACGTGACAATCGAAAGTAGGTTTCCGACCTATTGCAAATCATCTCACGGAAAGTAGCGTATATTGGCAGTTGCCGGGTCAGCTTCGCCACAGTAATACGACAGTTCCTGTGCAGTGGAATGTTTGATAAACAGCGACTGGCCATTTCAAATAAGCAAAAGTTTGTACTGGTCCAGATATCTTCCCAATGAATCCAAATCGACAAGCTGCTTTGCCAATTTGTTCTCCATTCATTGGGCCATACAGATGCTTGGGGGTGAATACCACCATTTACCAAAGATCAGAAACCATTGGGACACCTACCATTGTGAACTTTAGGATGACCATATGATCTTGGTACGGTCTAATGTAGGTTTACACACTTTTCCAATTCTCGATTCTTTCGTGATATAGGTTGGATTGCTTAATTCGCTTTGTAGGCTGCCACGATACTATTGTGTCTCTAATCCTCCCTGTGTGGTTCTTTCATGCCACACATAAACTTTCTGGGAACTACGTTCGTCACCTGAGGATGTGTACATTTTACAGTTGATATTCGATACTAGCTATTAACACTTAGGACGGATCAATTATCTGGCCTAGTAATGAATGAATTCGTTGGTTTAATAACAGTTGTTCTTTAATTTACTGAATTTTTTCTCTTGAAATTATTACCAATACCAGCTTGTTTAGCCACTGAACGTATTCTTGCAACTATTCACTAAGTACAGAGAGGGTAGTTCTCTACGCTCTCTTGGAGTTGCTGTAAAACCGGTATCAGTCTGTAACTTTATGCTTTCAAACTGACACCTCTAAGGCTGAGTGGTCTTGTTTTCTTACAGGAATCCTACAATTACTTGGCCGACTTAATGATGCACCACTCCTAGTGTGTCCTGGCTTTGTTATTTCCACCATGCGAAAAAATTGAACAACACCGTTCTGGGTTTTATTAGAGAGGTCAATTTGTGGGAACTGATGGTTAAGCCGTACTAAGTAATTTTCACTTCGCTTCCTTAATCGACATTTTCAGCTTAACCAATTCCAATATATTGCAACAATAGAGTGTCTTAGATCACCACACAGAAAAGTCATTAATAACCGTTGCGAACCATTGCGAAAATGAACCCTCTCCAAACTCACGGCAAAGTTAAGCGGATGGTTTCCTCATAATGATCGCGTGTTCGCGAGAGTACGTGCATTTCGCTCACCCACGCAGCGCGAGCTCGATGCGCCACCTATATGCAATGTTGATATGGTCTCTCCTACTTTTCGCATACAACAAAGAGTGTTCGGTAAGAAAAGTGCCACAATAACCTGTAGCACTGTTCAGTTGACAGTCGAGAGTTGGTTAGATATGTCGCCTATAATACATGTCGCAAGTTGACTGGTCCATGGTCGCTGGTAAATGTCAAACAATTCATTAGGGTCTATGTTTAAATGTGATAGTTAGTCTCTCCATTCTGATGTGAAGTGACGCAACATTCGCCATGGCGGTTCAATAACGACAGCATAGCCGTCGATCCACACAGGTT